AGACTTCTTTTGTGCAGAGGTCCACACTATGTATGTCATGCCTGCACACACTGACTGAGGCCCACAGGTAGGATAGACCTACCACACACACACAGTGGCAACACTACGTCAGATGTAAAGTGGGAATCTGATTTTCCTTTTTGTTCTTGCAGCCCTGAACAGACAACTTGTTGCTCACTCCTGGAGAGAAAGGTAAGCACTCTGACCTCTTCAACACTTCATCGAGCCAATCCCTACATCTGGATCCTTCTCTACACTATATGAGCTCCACTCCCAGTCAGAATCCTGCAGTCTCCTGAAGACGGACAGAGTACACTGTTTGAAACGTCTATATTCCCCACACATACTCAAGAAAGAGACTGATACCTGGTGTCACCGCAATCGTTTTACTCATCTAGTTTCATTCACCATGAAAACCTTCAAGTCTTAACTCTGACCTCTATTACTTAAAATTACACTCTTTTGACAAGGCAAATCAATTCAAAGCTATGTACCATGCTTACAGAAAATCTGGGGGGGGGGAAGCAATTCCCAACAAATGCAGCTTGGGCACTTGAGGCAAAATGAGGAAGAACATTTGATTCTCAATTGAATTTGATGATTCTCAATTTTCCCTGTCAATATAGATATTGCCTCGGAAGGGAATCAAACTTGTTTGGAGTCAAAACATTTTTGGCTTCATTCGCAAGACAGAACACACAGGAAAAAAAAAACTGCACGCTGTGAGCTACATGCTGAGCAAACTGCCATGAGAGACTTTTTGCTCATGGATACTGCTCCTGTGTGGAATCACTTCAAAAGTGTTTCTGATCGAGAAAAACCAATTTAATAATTTGTTTCTCTGCCACGGCATAAAACTTTTTAACAGGCACAAAATTCCGGTCAAACTTGTGAAACAGCATCATTAAAGTCTTACTGGTTAGCAATGGACCTCAAATCAGTACAATTACTTGTATCTGGATTCTGCATGGACACTTTTAAGGACATATCCGTTTTCCTAATTCAAAACTACTTTCATACAATAATAGCACTTCAAACGCTTTTCCATTAACTTTGCAATCCTCTTCAAAGTTTATCTTGACCCAGTTTTGCCACATGAAAATACATGTACTCAAAATCACCCCTTCCTTTTTATGCATACAAAACAAAGAAAGGAGTTCCTTGTATATTTAACTCTGAAACATCCAAATTTAAAGTCATTTGTATCACATTATATCACTTATTATGATATATGTGACCTGGTACATCGTAATCAGGAATAAGTCACTGAGACCATTTTACGTAATGGTCGAGTAAAGGGGGTTATGTTGAAAAAAAATCGATGAGGCAGTTTCTGTATATTTTGGAAGTGTATGTATGAAAGGTCACCATCAACACACTTGCACTGTGTACCATTTGAAAGCTTGTGAAATGCTCTTTCAGACCCTGTACATATCTCAAAAAGTCAATTTGCAACTTATTCCTGTTTTCGATGTACCATGTCACATATTTTGGGGTGGGGGTGGCAAACCCCAATTGTAAAGCATCAGTCTTATCTCCAAATACCAAATCAACTTCTTTTATTCTTAAAGAAATTTTGTTCTGATGGTGGACCAACAGCTTGCTTTCAACAGCTTTCTTTTTACTTTTGCCAAACATCCACTATTTCGCAGTTAAAGAAATTGACAAGTGAACGGAATTAAGAATTTTTTTTGTTGCAGTCACTAACTCATCATTATGTATTGTTTCTACCATTGAAATCTGACAGAACGTGAGTTATATCCTGGGAAAGTCTCCAGAGTCAAACCAGCAGTCGTAACAGTGAGTTGAATGTTTTCATTTATTTTGAATCAATGTAAATGTCTCTTAAATTGTGATTCTAATGCATTCATTTTACATGTCATTTAACTCAACACCTCAGTTATTTCTTATTTCAATTGAACTGTATGCATTTTAAATGGCAAAAACGCTATCCGTGAGCCCCTTGATAATAATTTATTCATATTTATAAAGTGCAAATCTCACAAAGATATGTTCCAATGCACTGAAAAATAGAGACAAACTGTAGTTGAGCTGATCTGGCAGCCGCCAAACGACCCATATCCACTCACATTTGTGGAGAGGAGACATTACGAAAAATTTAGTTTTAAAGGTGGGAGGAAAACCCCACAGAAGAAATTTCTGGGTAACATCCACAGAACTGAAAACCCAATCCACGCGTGAACCAAGCTGGGAATCAAACCCGGGCCGCAGAAGTGGAAGGTGAGGAAAGACTTACCTTGCTAACCTGACGGCCCTTCTGTGCCTAGAAAGGTGTGTACATGTATGTGTCACACACTAAGGATGGGCAGGAATTTTGTTCAAATAATGGCTTGCTTTAGAATAAGATTAATCATGCTGACTTGCTTCCATTATTGAAGACCTGATTTCAATCCAAACTCACCACTCTGCCTACAAAAATTAGTCTTGATGAAAATACCATTTCCTCTGTACTCTTCTTAGAGCATTTAATCATGCAATTTGATGCTTTTCACAGACCTTACTAAAGCTACATAGCAAGCAGGATGGACGAGCAGATTAAGAACCATGAAGGGGACATTACGGTCTTTATTGATTCATGCCCTTTGGGCTGTACTTGGCCAAGTGAAGTTATTTTGCTAGGCAGGGATCACATTTATCGCAATAAGCCTCAGGAGGTACATGCTGAGAAAAAGTTTTTGGATGCGCTTGAACAAGACGTAAACGATGAGGAGGAGCAGGAATTCATCATATTCCTGAATTTTTCTCCATGCAATGAATGTGCCACAAAAATATGCAGATTTTTGACTGATCACAGTGAAGTGACATTTGAGATTGCATTTGCCCACGTTTATACGGGCTATAGACATGCAAACAGGGAGGGGCTGAAAAAGTTACATGACCATAAGCGCATTACACTGAGAGCACTGAGGGGTGAAGACTGGAAGAAAATAATAAGACTTATCCTAGAGGCACACGGATGGGACGGATGGGATGATGCATGGCAACAGATTCAGCCAAATCTAGAAGACTGGGAGAAGATAAAGAGAGAGATAGAGGAAAGCATTGGGGGACAGCAGGGTGATGACTGGAAGGAAGAATTTCGCAAAAAAATCCAACACAAGCCTTGGCCAAGTCATTGGTTACAGGACCTAGAGGAGATAATAACAAGATATGACCACAATGAGTGGGCTTATGAAGTTGGGGAGTTGGTATCGGGAAGTGAGGACGTGTGGTACCAGGCAAAGCAGAATGAAGTAATGCAGTATGTGTATAATTATGGTCGAGACAGTGTTTCAACCATACTGAATCATTTAGAAGGCCCAGATAATGAAGAAAATAGAACGGGTTATGCTTTTCTGCTACATGTGCTTGAAATCTTGGGGAAAAATCGGCCGATTAACAAACTGCGGAAGCGCATTGTTGCAGACTATGTGGCACGAAAGGAACTTGAATACATACTGCAAAAACAAGCACAAGCACAGGCTGGAGCTGCAGCCCAAGCCCTCTAATCACACACTGTATGAGCCCCAGCCACAGCCAACCAATCAAACACTGAATGAGCCACAGCCAACTAATCATACACCTGAATGAAGATGTCTCTTACTGGGAACATTGCTACACAGCATGCAAAGTTTCACTTTAATAGAACAAGCAACAGATAGGAGCCTCAGAGAATTTGTGGCCGGGCGGATAATTACTTTCTTCACACTTTTCTGCAATCACACCCATCTCAAGGCCAATATACGATAATCTTGTCCAATTTCAAAGAAAAAGTAAGATGTACATACAGCTCAATTTAAAGAAAAGGGAAGTTTGCACACAATTGTCATCCACTTACAAATGCAGCAATAAGTGTAGTAAACACAGCATCTTTAATAACAATCTGGAAACAAAACAAAATTTGGTCCTTCTAACCTCTTTTGTTCATTTATACTACTAGCTTTTACAGAGGACATGTAACTGGTCAAGTTTAAAAATTACTAAATGCCATTTCCACACACAAGGTCGCCTAATGTAGTTCAGTGACAAGGAGAAAAAACTTGTTATCTGAGACTCATGTTGTCTGAATTATAATGTATGTTAAAATTTCATGATGGTTTTAGAATGGAGTGAAATGGCTTACCTTTTAATACTGGAAAGACATTTTAGTCTTGAAGCAGTTAGCTAAGATTGTAAAGATTCCTATATCAGCACGTATGCAATGCTTTCCTTTTAGATTAATATGTAAAAATACTTTTCAAACTTTGCACGTTATATCAAAAAAGTGCGTAAAACTTGACAATTACTAATAAAAAAGCTGAACTTAGTAATACAATTAGAACATTGAGACAAAGATCAGAAGCAAGAAATTTTACAATATGTTTGATTAGTCTGATTATATTTACATATGCTTAACAGTAGTATCAGTGCCATTACTCAAGCAGTACAGTAAACTCCGACTATTAGTCAACATCGCGTAACCTGCCATATTGTCCAAGTTGGCCGTTTGACCAAAGTCCCAATCGTCTGTAATGCATTTCCAATCAAGATTTCATTCTAAGTCGGCTTTTATACGACATCATTTCGTATAATATGTCGGCATGTTTTTCTCGGTCCCTTTTCCACAAAACCACAAAAATTCCTTTATGTCAGTCAGTATTAAAAAAAATCACGCTTCGGTATCAGTTTCCTTCGCCACGGTTGCCAAGAAGTGTCAAGTGACAAGTTCCACGCGCGTGCGGCCAGCACGAGTTCATCAATACCAGTAACCCCTCTTGTGCTACACGCATGCGCTCTGTCCATTTTGGGGGTCGCCTTATTAATAATAATTGAGAACGAATTTGCTGGGATCAACCAGAGGTTAAAATAAACCAGGGTAAATCAAAGCCATTGAATTTGTGTAAGGAATCATAATGTACATAGGCAATACATGTGCAAGTTGCCAAAAAGATGACTTGTAATACAAGCCGGCATTCGTGTAAGTCGTCATAATTTCTTGAGTCCCAAGAGTGTCATCTTAGCCAGAGTTTACTGTAGTTGGTAGTTGTATGTTTACATAGACAATAAGACACATAACTGGCAAAGTTTCTAATCGCTTTGTGCTTGTTTTCCACAAGAAAGACTTAAAGAGAGTAATTCGGTGATTTGGGGGGGGGGGAAATTTGTTTGTTTAGACTTAACAGCTTGAATTTTAAGGTATATTCAAAGTGTCACGTATTAATTAAGCTGTAGTTGGTAGTTGAACCTTGTGCTTCTCTATCAATAAAGTAATCAGAGTTATCAGTAATTGATTACAACTATTATACATTTTAGGATAAAAGCAAGGCGTTGCAATCATTTGTGCCTAAAAGTCAACTTTGAAGCCACTTTAACACATTGTTATTTCTGTCAAATGATACTTTAAAATCTTGAGTTAAAGACGTTACAACTTCTTTCAAAGGATGCAAAGTTCCCAGGTTTAGAGTATTTTGAATGGCAAGACATGTACACTTCAGTACCCACATAGCGGTGCATGTATATTGAGAATTACTACTGAAAATCCCTAACTAATTAAATCAATGAGAAAATTTAGTCAAAGATCAAAGGCGAGAAATTATGCAAACTATTTGATTAGTCTAGTTATATGTATAAGCTAAACAGTTGTATCAGAGATATCATTTATTGGTAGTCATATATAATAGTGCATAAAATATAAGGCATGTAACTGGCAAAGTTTAGAATTACTCAGTACCTTTTTGTCAAGCAAAGGTGATGTAGTGTAGTTCACTGATTACTGGAAAAAAATTGTAAGCTCAAATTGTTGCGTAATTGATGAAGCTATACTCCCTAGTTATACTTTGTGCTTCTATATCAATGCATTAAGAGTTATTGGTAACTGATTTAAACCTGTTACGCATTTTAGGATACAATACGATGTCAATCTTAGATAATGGATCTGGATATTTTGAGAGATAAAGCAAAGATGCTACAATCATACTATGCTTGAAAGCCAACTCCTAAGTCACTTTAGTACATTGTGATTTCTATCAAAAGATTTTTAAAATCTTGAGTTAAAGTGTCCCTGGGCTTTGCTCACTTTGAAGGGTAAAGATGATGTACATTTCAGCACTTATGGATTAGAACTGTGAGCATGCATGTGTAATAATTAAGCACCCTCAGTTGGCAGTAAGTTTTGTGTTCAATTTTCCTCACAAGCTTTTCAGTTAAAATCGATGTTTTTGACTGCATGAATGCGTGAGCTAACTGATTCATAATCATGATGTAAATGAACTTGATTTAAATGAGTTGAACTTGAACAAGGTTTATGGTACAACTTAAGTAACAATTCCAAGCAATGTCCAAAATGACAAGAATTATTCTGCTTATATTAGATGTACTAAATATGGTCATATCGTGAGTAATAAAGTATAGCTTAACTGAAATTGCAGTGTCACTGTTTGAATATTTTATGCATGAATCATGTCCTAAACATTGCCACTGTTTGAATATTTTATGCATGAATTATGTCATAAACCTTGCCATCTGGGCCTTAATCATGTAAATAAGAAAGCCCTGAAAGAAACGAT